ACAGACTCATTCTCCACCCAAAGAAAAAGACTTTCATCTCCCGTGTTTTGGGCACTTCTATTCCTTTTTTGTTTGGCTACCGTATCAATTCGTATCCTTCTTTCATGAACGAGCGCAGCGACTATGCCCAAATGATTGTGAAATGTGCCTGGGCGTTCTTTCCTGCGAGATTAAAAATTAAACAAATTCCAAGCTATTTTTGCAAATAGCCACCCCTTTACATTTGCTCTTCACGCTTAATAGCGTTTCGCAAACTGAAATTTAATTGAAGCCAATGTCGGCAGCAAAAATTAATGTGTTCCTACGTAATTCAAAGTTGTATCTCCAATGTGGAACGGGCCAAAAAGAATACTTACCAAATGCGCATTATTTCGAGAATTCGGTACTCCTGAGTTGGAGACTCAAACCTCTTCGAATCCGAGAGGATTTCGGAAACCATCGCAACAGCATCCTCCATAACAGGAGCATCAACTACCGGAGGGCTAGCTGCAGAGGTGATTGCATCGTCGTCTGTCACTAAAATACGAGAAATAAAAATACGCACCCCGTTGTCTGCCATTTTACTTGACCTTCAATTACACAGTTCTTCGCAAAACTGTAATACTTATGTGCTAATCGCCGCTTTTGCGTTCCTCTGATTATGACGAACCCGCATTATATAATATGCGCAAACACCCGCAAATCAGAAAGCAGTAGTACATACATAGGAACCCATCGCTTAAAACGGGGAGGTAGTTCAGTACAGGTGGCTTCTATTCTAAATGATCAATTATTATGTTGTTGGAAACAGGCAAACCAACAGATTTCCAATTGAGCTGACCAGAAACAAAGTCACAAATGAATTGAAAATCTCATGGACGGCAGTTTGAGGCATTTGTCCCTGAGGTATGCATCTGCGCAGAGGTTCCACGAATGTATTTCATACAAAATATCCAGGTCTATGAACTCATCAAATTTAACCGACCGTGAACTTATTTTCGCTCCATTACGTTGCGTATTGGTTCAACAACAGAGGACTATTCAGAGAAAGCGCTTCACGTCTTGAAAAATGGCCCCTCGCTCTCCTAGTGTTAGTGAGCAACCCTATGTAAACTGCTTCCTTCTATATTTCCAGTGAAAGCTTGTGTGTAATGACAGTCGAAAACAATTTTTCTTACTTAATAGCTTTCAAAAGAGCAAGCAACTCGTTGTAATAGCCCCACAGATGAAGATTCATTACTTCATGGTCAGTAAAGAAGAAAACAGCCACTGGAATCGTAACAGCAATTGATCAAAAGAAAGCGCTTGTTGGAGTTTAGCAAATGTGACTAATTCAGTATTGAAGTGGGCAGAAAAAGTGACTCTTCTTTTTAACTCCCTCCCCCCGTAGAATTGAAAATTGCTCACAACAATAGATTGGCTCCCTATTTATGTTTCGCGTAGGAAACACTATATAACTTAGATAACTAACAAGTTCGGGCAACTTATCGCCTTATTCATCTTTTTAAACCAAATCCCCGTAACATCATGATGTGATCTTGTTTCAATTCCTCTCTTATCATTCACTCGCGACCCGAACACACAGAGAATGGAGCAGAAATGTGTACATAAAAATAGGAAGAAAAAATTTAAACAAATCATAAAAAGATTAAACGTGAAACCAACAAAATGTGATTGTAAAGAAGAGCATGAAAATAGTGATTGAATGGAATCAGACAGAAAAGCTAGTAAAATGAAAGCGATGACAGAAAATGGCACAATGTGGGTTCATTACAATTCTTCCCTGATTCAACAAACGGAGGAATAGCAACGGCGAAAAATGAAAACGTGCGATAGCGTTTCACGAGTGTGAAAAGAGCGGACGAAAAAGAGTAAAGTTAAAAGCTATGGTAAAAATACCATGAAAAGCTGAGTTGGAATGAAATGGTGCCCCGGTAGCGTAACTGGTAGCGCACTTGCCCGGAAAGCGAGAGGTGCGGGTTCTAGTCCCGCCTGGGGCGAAAGTTTTGTTCACAACCCAGCATTCTTGTGAAACATTAAAAATACGTTAAGGAGGCGAGAGTTAGAATCAGGCAAAGAAAAAGTAATAGAATTATAGAGGCGAATTATAGTCCGAAGAATCAGCCGCATCAAAGAAGATTATAGGGAAAGCAAATAAACAAAAAAGTGATGAGAAGGAGAAGCTGGCAAAAGGGAAAGACTACGAAATAAGCGGTGCAGATAAGCGACGAGAACGAAGCAAGTAAATAGAACGAATTGGAAGGATATATACTGACGATGTAGAAAACGTTTCATTGGGAAAAGTTAGAAACGAAGGCGGATGAACGGATATGTAGTTAAAAAATAAAAAAGTAAACAGAAATAATCGACCGGATGCAGAATGAAGCATTATGAAGTAGTTCGGAGCAAATGAAACGAAATGTGGACGTTGGAAATAGAAAGAATGGAAATGAAAAGGGGAAATCTGGACGCTCATCCAGGGTCGGAGTTCGTGCAATAGCTCATTCTGCCTAGTAATCCTAATTTTGCTAGGAAAGAAAGCTCTGGTGTGAGGGCGGAAACGAAAGTAAAACGGTTTTTGATATAATCCATCTGGTTATAAAAGAAATAAAATCACTATTTTTCGCAGAGGGAGAAAGCTCCTCCGTGGTGTAATAGTGGGGGCGAAACGATTCACACGCGTCAGAAGTGTACTTCTTCTGCAAAAAATCTATTTTCTGTGGACGGTAGCGACCCAAATTGGGATTGCTTTAGCTGCCACGTACTATTGCAACGGTCCCCCTTGCTGGAATGTGCTTGAAAAAGTGCTCAAGTGTTGTTGGCTACAGCAGGACTCAGCAGCATAGAATAAGATAAGAGTAGGAGAGCTCAAAGTGGGATGTTTGCATGTTCCGAGCCGTATCACACTGCTAGCCGAGGGGACAAGATTATAAGTTCAGGAACATAGGGTGTATACCGTAACCTTCTCGACGTTGCACTGGGGCGCGCATTCTCACGTGTCATCGATTTTCTCGTCTTCTCTGCACCCTCTCAACGAAGAGAGAATGCGTCGAGCAGGCCCGCGCAGAGTACTATGCGCCGTTTATGTAGAAGGTGGAGGACACAACGCGAGCGGTTGTCGCCACACGTCGGATGGGGCGGCACCCCGGGGATCACCTCCCTGTGCTCGCGCGCGGAGCGCGCGCAGCGGCGAGGCCAACGCTGCGACGGTGTTCGGCTTCGTCGCGCAAGCGGCGAGGCGAACGCTGCGACGTCGCTCCATTTTTGGGTTCGCTGCCCCGAACAGCAGGGGCGGCGTCGTTGACCGCTCTCACACTAGTGCTGGCATTGTGCACTGGAAAGCCTGCAACCGCGCTCTGACGCAAACGTGGGTTACGGTATACATCCTATGTTCCTTAACTTATAATCTTGTAAAGGGTGGGGCCAACGCTCTCCGCGGCACCGCCCACTCTACTATGAAGCTGATGAAATCAATGCTTAGGGTGCACGGATTGAAATCACTGAACAAATAACCATAAGCCAACTTCAAATATAGCGGTTCCAAGAAAAACTGTTTTCAGAATGAAATCATGATTCCGCTTCGCATTGCGCTCAACGGAAAAGAATATTACGATGCGAATTCTCGATGGAGAAAAGGAGAGGAAAAGATTCCGAGAAAACTGATTGAGGAAGCCATGGCAAAACAGGGAAGCAGATAAAATGTATGAAGATGCAAAAATAGCAAAACTGCTATCAGACAAAGGTCAGCGAAACATTTTCAAAAAGGCTTTTTGTAACAGTTTGGGATGTTACTTTCTCCACTAAACATGTTCGAAGTATAATAGTTGTAGCTGATGACATCTCATCCGATTATGGATTATGAAATTCAAATCACTTCCATGTACAGACTCACAACACTCTGAGCCACGATTTGCTTTCTAGAGCATGTTTCAGAACGGAACAAAATTAGCACGACCGTGACTTGATTAGCTGTTTCTATCACAACAAAAATAATGTCTAAAAGAACATTATTATTTCAATAGACGTTATAAATAACTCTGGGTGTTGATTAATTTTTGATCAAAAATGATTTTCAGGAACATAACTCCCTACTTCTACGGACAGCATATGCATCAACACGTGCATGCACGACATAAACATCGTAATACTCGCTAAAAAACTGGAAGAAAATCAATCAAAAAGACTGGTTGACCAGGTCGTTCAACATCACCTCACAGTCCGAAATGTGTGTGACAACTTTTACGCGCTCATGAAGAAGCAAACTGAAATTACCTCACCTCGATCTAGATCAGGTTCCTCGTTCATATCCGCGATGCCTTTCTCCAAGATGGCCAGCATCTCTTTTGAAGCAATGTTTTTTGATGACTTCTTTGTTTTCGCCACTCCCTCCACTTCTTGACCAACAACCTGGAAGGTGTCTGTTCATCTCCGACCGCTCTCGATTCGGGATCCAATGCTATCATAAGCTAATTTGCTTATCGATCGCTACTTTCCAATTTACGACTACCGCGAACTGCATTGTGATCTATGTACCATCCACAAAATCTCAAAGATAAATCTGGTTCAATTTTTGTAGATACGTGCAGGCTTTTTTGTTCGCTAGCCTTTTTGCTCAACAACGGTTTCAATGAAAAAAAAAGAAAAATTCCAATGAAACAACTGATTTCAACAATCAGTAACAGGGGTAAGAACGCGCACCCTACACTGACGCTGGTCAGACAGACTTATGTATGTTGGAGATTCGTCCATTGGATTGTAAAGGCTTGCTCCAGAATCAAACTGGTGTGGTTCTTGCACATGAAAATGGAAGGAATGTTGTGACCCGGGCCGGCAGTAAAGAAGCATCTGTCGAGAAGCTGAATTTGAGGGCTTGCTAAGCTTTGTGTTGGGTGAATGAAGCTGGGAGAAAAAGGATAGGCGAGCACAGGAGAGAGGGAGCGCTGCCACCAGCAAACTGCGCATGAGAAAAAATTGAAGCGATGAAAGCGGTCATTACGAGGCACTTGCGTCATTTTTGCGCAGTTCATAGCCAGAAGCACGAGATATCTTCAACCTACGTTGCACAGCTCTACGCTACTCACCGAAATTATTCCATTCATCTAAACTCATCCTGTGTTGTGGATTCAGGGTGGTTTTTTGGTGCAATCAGGGTCAACAGCGCGTAGCGCAGGTGGTAAAGGGGGATGGTCGTACCTAGAGATGGTGAAGGTCAAAAGGCTGGAAAAGATATCGTGTTTTTGGAAGTTGATGGTACCGTTGTGGCAGTAAAGGGAGGGAAGAGATGGTCGTTTGGTCAAAAGTGAGAACATGCTTCATTAGATCAGTTTATCCCCCCCTCGATCCGTGGGTTAAAAAACTAGTATCGAGACCGCTCTTAGAATTAGAGGGTGAAAGGTGGTTGATTTTGAAATAGGAATCAGCGGATCCTGATCATTGGTTAAACATGTACTAACGGTTTGTTTCGATGCAACATAAACTCCTCTTGGTTCCTTTTCCCCGGTGTTATGACATTTCAAAGCGCGTACTACCGAACCTGAGACACTAACAGATGATTCAGATTCCGTAATTTTTTATGGTGCGCAGGAAATTTTTAGGATGGCGAGGAATGACGTCAACAATTGCTCAATGAACGCTTTTAGAAATTTCAAAGAGTTGAAATACAAAAACCAATGGCGATATTCAACGTCATAACCGTTGCCTGATCTATTCGTCATATTCGACAAATTCAGCGCAATTTTGTTAGAGCAAAAAGAAAAACTATGTGCTTTCGATCGATTCCATGTTTAATGCAATATTTCGAAACACGAAGAAAAGCACAAATTCTTCGCATCGCGCTGTTGAATCAGACTACCGATTGACATTTAGATATCATTCCAATGATTCGGACATGGTTTTTACAGTGTGATCAAATCAAACGCACGGAATTTGAATTCTGCATGTAGTTGGTTTCACAACATATATGCACGCTATGAGGTAAGATGTCAGTGCCATCTGAAAAAATCTTGAAGCAATGTGGCGGGAAAATGCACGATTACTGCGTATAAGCTTGAAAAATGAGCGGGTTATAGGAATGTGGAAGAAATAAGAGTTAGCCACGATTCAATCCTAACTTGACTTGTTTTGATGTGATTTTAAAAACTAAAAAAACGACTCTTGGGAGAAAGTTTTTTGTATAACTTTTAAAGCCAAACCGTAATGGGAGAAGAAACTGAATAATAAAGTAAAAGACGCGTAAAAGGATAAAGGCATTGCCGTTGATCAATCCCTTTTGGGATGCGGCACGCATTCTACTTCCATTTGTACATTCGCAGTGGCGTTTGAATGCGATGTGGCCTATACAATGACTTGCGGGGGCCAGCCGATGTACAAGTCAGTGTTTTTATCCTCCCAGACAAGTCTGGTACCAATTAACCGACCCCGGAGGGATGGAAGGCTTGGTTGGCCCGGGACTCACGACCCAGGATTTGATCCCGGACCGCTCGCGTGGTGAGCGCGCCACTTGTCACTACCACTTCCGCCAAATAAATAATAAATGCTGAAAGCTGTTAGTGTTTTTTTTCTTATTGATGTGTCGCCGATTCTGAATCAATTGCCTATCATCGCTGCTGCAATAGAGTAATTTTAATAATAAGCATGCTTTTGCGATAAAAAATAAATGTTTCAAAGTAAAGACTTACAAAAGTAAAGTTAATTTCTTGCAGTTTTTATGAGCGATTTGACTAGCACGTAATCGTCTTCACCAGACTATGTAATTAAGGAGGACACAACAAATCTACCCTTTACGAACACTTTTTCGAATCCTCTGTTAATTTTGAGATTTGAGACCTAATTGAGAAACATTTACTTTTTATAATCAGCAAAGGGTTCATTATTAAACTATTGTACAGCGATGATAGGAACTATTTGTTACAGAATGGCGGCACTCACAATAGAGAAGAATAGAACAGCTAGCATTTATTCAGCATTTATTGTGCACACTATCCTAATCCCTTTCATTGGAGCATCCTGAATGAAGGCTGTGTAGGTCTGTCATTTTATTTGACGGTCAAATGCGAAAGGAGAATGTGGCTAAATCAAACAAAGCGGCAGGGAATTCCTGGAATGGGTCTTTCTGGGTGGAACCACATGCAGAGCCGAAGTCAGCTCAAACACGATATGGCATCATCATGTTCAGTCGGGTTATATGGAGTAATTAAAGCCACGAGTCAGGATTAGGTGACCTAGAAGGCCTTTCCATCACTAATATTTCCAGGAATGCGCTCAGAGGGGTGATGCCACACTCCTGACTCGAGATTGCGCGCCGTCAAGGCCTTCTGGCCTACTACTTACAGCGATGGGTTCGTTACATCAGCTGGTCCCGCCCACCGCGGGATGTGGTGCGTGGCTGGCCTAACGTGTGAGATCAGCTAGGTTGATTGCCGTATCAACCGATGGAACGGCTGGCATATCCGGAAAACTCGTTTGGACGTGGCTCTCCCCCGAGCAAGCCTCCTTCACTGCTAGAAGGAAGGGGTTTCGATTTCGGTCTTGTCGACGGTTTCTTTGCGTTTTTTCTTCACTGTCGTTCCACCTCCCATCTCTACACTCAATTTCAGGCGCCATAATGCCCAAACACGAGCCTGACTTTTGCCTTTAAGATCAATCACCAATATTTGCCGATGATGAAAGGGTACAGTTGCTTACTAAGAAACAAAGTCGACAAGCAGACAGTTCTTACTGCTCAACTTCAACCTCGTTCAAGTAGGGCCTTCTTGGATTTTTGGTGGAATACGAGAGGAGTTGAGCTTTGATAACCCTTACATGTAGATGTCGCAGTCAACGCGGAAGTCAACCGTCTACAACTCGAATGCAACGCTTTCACTACTGAAGAAAAGCAAGTGCAAAATTTGCTTTTGTATGACACCGTTGGACCACCTCTTGCTAAAAAAAATTCGGAAAAATTTTGAGACTCTAGGACGGGGAGTATCATTTAGCATCACCTTAGGCTTCGACTCGGAGCCAAAAAAGATGGCAACCTAATCGCCTTCCAGGACCACGTTCTAGAGAAGAACGGCACCTAATACGTGTGGATTGTCAAAATAGAAACTAATCTTTCCGGTGATTAGCTTCAGCTATAACACCAACCCGACACGCCAAACCCCCTGTTGAAGAATTACAAGACAGGCATCGAACAGCTTCTAGTGCGTTGGCAATAGGTTGTAGATATTGATGGTGGTAGCATGCCTGGATGAATGGAACAAAAAGATAATGAAAATATTAAATTCAAAATTCAGCCAGTTTGTTGCAAGACTTATGGACCGACCTAATAGTTTGTCTGTTGTGGTTGAGTAAGGAAGGTGTATTTGATATTTTTATATGGATCTGAGGTTAGTTGCTCGATTTCAGGGCATTTTGTCTGTTCAGTTGCCCGAGTTAGAGTTATTTTGCATAACTGATATGCTGTGTGATTGCTCACAATTTGCTGGCAAATTGGCTTTTTTGTGAACCCCTTATCCCCCCTTCCCCCTGTACACTTCTTTGTAGGTGAGACTGACCACTGGAAAATTATTGTAAGGCAACACGCATTCAAAACCCACAGCGATTCCACAATTAGATGTTAACGATTTCATTTTCTCATTTGTGTGTCCTTTGTTTGTGATCATACAAGTATTACACTTTTTCCAAGCACCCTTAAAAGGCAAGTAAACTTCTTACCTTACAAGTAGTAATGAATGTCCTGTCATTTGGAGGACCTTCTTCCTTGTAGCTGTACTGCGGCAAATCGAACTTCTTTCTTTGACATCTGAATGGGCAGTTATTTATGGCTGAACACCCTCGAAACAAAACTCACAGCTGTAGCAATCTCCCAGAATAATTTTCATTCTGACAGCCAGGAGACGTCTCTTCGCCAGAAACTTCAGTGCGGACGTCACCGATCATGAGATTATCCCTGAATCCAAAAGTGGTCAGATTCTGGCAAGAATCATTCAGAAAATCTCTGAAACTTACACTGCACGATGAGCTTCTTCTTGAGATTGACCTGGTATCCCGAAATCGCCATGTCTATCTTTTTTGATAATTTCGTGGAGCATGGCTCGTGCAGCCAGGTGCTTCGCAGCTTTTTTCGTCTTTGCGTATCCCTTCACACAACTGCCCATCAGTCGACAGGCGTAACCAAAACCGTAATTGGGATCCTGCTAACACAAATCCACTTAACGTCTGTCTCTCTTTGTGCTTTTTCATTTGTTTACTGAGGCACCGAATGGAAAATGGTGGCACCAAGGTTCACCTTTTCCAGCTACGTAACTATTCTATGCAGCAAAGACTAAATTAAGCGATGAAAATTTTATACAAATTTGCGAAATTTGCTCTCGCGTGTCCAAAAACCGTCGAAAATGATAAGTCATGAATCCTTCCTGAAAACTCACTTCAGAAATCAACTGATATTCCGGAGCCACCCCGTAGACACGGCGTGATCCCTCATCAAGAGCCATGACTGGAGTCTTCTGAACATAAACTCTCAGCTATATAGAATCGTACGTGAGCCCGTGTTACGCCCTTCCACTACGAAGCACTATAGAAAGAAGAAACCTGGCCAAATGATGTCGCAGCAGGGTTTGGTGCCACAGCGGAATGTACTGCAAAGTACGACGGCTCCGTTATCCTGAGCTCATCGATTGGAGTAAAAAGGTCCCTCGTTGTTGGCATTTCTGAAAGGTGAATTGATCACTTCGTATGATTTCGCTGTCGTTTCGAGTGAGGCATATAGCGGACGAAAAATTTGTCGAGCAGCAAACACCGTGCACGTTAGCAAAGCTGTCTGAAATGCAACGGCTGAACGACAATAATCGAAACGGATCGATATATGGATACAGCATCTATCAAAATGACTCACAGAAGCAGACCACGTCCCCCCCCAAGCTTCTAAACACCAAGCTTCCAAGAGAACTCAAGAAAGAAAGTGTTACTGTAACATACCGCCACATGTTCATACGACAAGCAGTTCCACGTCATCTTCAAGTAGTATCTTCCGTCCATCACGCCACATGGTGATCATTGAAGCTGTTAGCTTGCACACTGATATGATAGCTACCGAGGCAAATTACAGACGACACCCGCACCGAATCAGCTGCTTCACAGAGTTGGCTCAAAATGCTCAAATGATCCGTGACACCAACTACGTGATTCTCCTCATTCCACGTCATCTGTGCAAACTCGCTAACAAAATAGCACCGGTTACAATAATGGGATCTTCTCGATTCACTTGTCGGCCTGTAGGACTACTCATCATATGAACAACTCAATCCATGAAGCGGACTTGCTATAATTTCCAACGCATTATTTATTAATTTAGTATTATGATTATTTTTTTACTGATTATTTATTTTTGCGCCATTACACAGCAGAACGTTTCAGATTTCTGCGATTTTAAACAATCACTTTACAAACACAAAACAAACTGGATCTTTATTATCGCGGACACTGCATTATTATGGCTTCAGCAAGATTAGCCTAAAAAAGCAAGGGTCAATGATCAAACACATGAACGTGAGTTTTGAGCCATCAGTGATAGAGCTGACCTCACTCTCACAGCCACTAGACCATAACATTTCCTTAAAGCTGACACCTAGTGTCGAGTCTGCCATTTCCATTGTAGGGAATTGTGAACAAAAACGACCCGAAAAGTCTTCCAACCCGACCAGTGCACAATGAGGTTCGTGGAGGTGCAAGGAAGTGTTGCAAATGGGTGTGATTTCCTCGAGGGGCAAAGAGAGAGACAGTCGTAATCTTTCCTTACCTACTAGATTGAGCAGCTGCAGAATTGGGGACAGATATGCGTTTCTATGCTAATATTTTTGTGGATGCGAATTAAGGAGATCGGCTAGACGAACACCAACGGAAGCGGACCTGCCACTAGGAAATTCGAAAGGTAATTTTCAGAGTCAGGAGCTTTCAGGAATTTCAATCAAATTGTTGTTTTGAAGCAAGGCCAATGTTGAGGATGCGGAGATTGCAAAATGATGGCTGGTTAAAAGTCACTATCGACACCATCGACATTTAGAGAGGGCCATATGGAGGAACTCCCTTTAGGGAAAAGGTGTGCAAATTTTGAAACGGCACAACGGACGGTTGACCTTGTAAACTGTTGGCCACGTCCTGAGACGCTAAGCTCAAATCTACTTTTAAAATATGGAGAATATATGTTTGAAAGGGTTGTGATGTTTTCCGACACTATCTTGCATCCATGGTACTGCATAGATGTGCCCTCACAAGCATA